ATATATATATATATATATGTGTGTGTGTGTGTGTGTGTGTGTGTGTGTGTGTGTAAAATATCATATATCATATATATTTATCATTTATCAGGACAAATACAACACACACACACACACACACACACACACACACATATATATATGATATTTTCAGTTGCTGAATTGGGAAGCTGTAATTTCTATTAAAGCCTTCTCTCTTTATAGAAGGCTTTACATATCTCAGATGTAAAGATATCACAGTTTGCCTTTCTTTCCAAGCAGTGTTTGGTATGGAAGCATACTCATATTAGTCTTATTAATCTTATTCTGAAATAATAGAAAATATTTGTAGCTCAGGTCTTAGATTATGACAGTGGTTTGCACTTCAAGCTTCTTTCAATTCAGTTTCTGAACGTTTCGTTAACAGACAAGGTAACATCATCAGCAGGATTTTCTTGTCCTATTCTCTTGAACTTATAAATGTCTTGTGTGCCATTGTGGTCAGATGGATGGATGGATGGATGGATGGATGGATGGATGGATGGATGGATGGATGGATGGATGGATAGAGCTCCAAACAAACAACCAATCACATGACCAACTGACCACAATGGCGCACAAGACATTTATAAGCTAAGGAGAATAGGATAAGAAAATCCTTCTAATGATGTTACCTAGTCTGGTAACAAAACATTCAGAAACTAAATTGAAAGAAGCTTGGAGTACAAACCACTGCCATAATCCTACTCTTATTAGGTTTTCTGTTTTCTCCTTCTCTTCCTGCCAGTTTGTATTTTCTTTCCCCATTGCCTGGGCACAGTTCTTGCCCATTTAAGAAAACTTTTAAGATTTAAGGCTATGCCAAAGTGATCCCCAGTCCACCACAGAACAAATCTTTTGGCTATCCTCATTGTTGGAAAACTAAAACAATGGAGCAGCAGAGAGAGGTTGGAAGAAGTTGCTTTGGTACCAGAGAAGCTGTAAGGGTGGACCTCCTCTGATCAGGCTTCCCTTAGCCCAAAGTCCCACATTGAGAATCTATCTTTGTTTTCTTCTTCACTAATTATCTCATTTGTTCATCATGAACAGTGAAATCTGTCAGTTACAGGTAATCATTGGTTGTTAAGAGAATCTGGCTCCCATTTAGAGACTGTTCGAAGTTACAACAGCAGTAAAAAAGGGTGGGGGACTTATAACCAATTCTCATAACTGTTGCAGCATCCTTGTAGCCATATGATCAAAATTCATATACTTGGCAAGTGATTCGTGACGGTTGCAGAATCACGGGGTTGAATCTCCTTTAGTGATTTTCAAACAAGCAAAGTCAATGGGGAAGCCAGATTCATTTAACTACCGTGTTACTAACTTCACAACTGCTCACTTGGCAAGAAAGGTCGTAAAATGGGGCAAAACTCACAACTATCTCGCTTAGCAACAGAAATTTTGGGCTCAATTCTGGGCGTAGGTTGAGAACTACCTGTATTTTTTCCTCTTCTATGGCAACATATGAGTAGGCTTATGCTTAAAACTGACTTTAAAAATATTTTTTCACTTTAACATTTTCATTATTTGATCTGATGTGTCAAACACTTTTTATGCATTCACTTGTCTCATTCCCATCCATCCATCCATCCATCTATTCATGCCACTTAGCAAAATAATGTTTTCCCCTGGGTTTCATTCATTTAGAAAGTGCAGAGTTTTTCCAAGTAGTCCTTTCTGATTCTTCCATTATCATCATTCAGTAGAGTGTAACATGCAATTATCACCAGCCTATGGGTTCCTATTTTTAAAGACACCCACAATAGTCTAGATGACACCAATTAATCGTTTCTGAAGTACATTTTAACTCCTTTATTCAGTTCTTACATATATTCATCAATTCTACTCTACAAGATATCTCCACCTTCATTTTGATCTACTATATTATCTCCCTCTTAGATTTTTTTTAAATAAAGTATTTTTATTTCTTTCATGTTATGTATTAATGCTCTTCATTATATATTCTCTTCAATTTCCCATGGTAAAGTTGCTATCACATTTAAATCATAGATATTTACTTCCACTGGCCATTGTGGCTTTGGCCAGTTAAGACTTTCACATCACAATTGTTAGGAAGGTAGGTAAAAAAGGAAGATAAAAAAGATTACCGGTCTTACTGAGGAACATACTTGGCTAATGGTGAGGATTCTACCTGTCTTTGACCAGTTTGCCATAAGTTTCTCTAAAGGCTAATTGAATTAGTCCATCCTATTAGTCTATACAAAGATCCCTAATCTAAGAAATAACCTTGTAAGTTATCATAATGTTGCCTAAATGCCACCAACTTGGAAATAAAGGCAACAAAGACCACATACCCTACATCTTGTAGAAAAACTGCTATGTTTTGGACATGGCATCAAAATCAGTCAATATGAAAAAGAAACAAAGGCTTCTGACTCTGATGGAGCTTTCCATAAGGAAGTTAATTAAAATTACAGTTCCAGAGTTTGGGATGTTTTAATCTTGGTTTCTCACTGAGCAGGGTGTTGGACTTCATGGCCTAAATCAGGGATCCCCAACCTTTTGGACCTCAGTGACCAATACATTAATAATTTTAAATCCCGTGGACCACTAATACGATCTGCCTAATGCCTAATGACTGGGTGGGCATGGCGAGGTGATCATGTAACTGGATGGGTGTGACCAACTTGATGTTATTTACATCGAGGGGTGCCTCGCCGATCTCTACTCGCCCCTCCACTCCACTCTTCGCCTGCTCACCTTGGTTCCTTAGAGCCCCAATAGAAAGCAGTTGGAGCCAAGCAGCCACCATGAGAAAGAGTTGGCAAAATAGCTGGTTCAGTTCAAATTGGATCTGACTGAGAAGGAGGCTCAGCAGAAACACCTCAGTGAGGACTGCAAGCATAGGCTTTCCAAGCAGAGGGAAGACCTGCAAAAATGCAAGGCCAGGTACTAGTGCCTGGAGGCACAGCGGGCAGAGATGGTCAGCCAGTTCCAGGCCATGATACAGTCCCACTGCAACAAGGCCCTCCGGCTCCTTGCCACCAGCGGTGCTTCCCTCCAGCCTTCGTCCAAAGCCCCACACCAGGAAGCAGGCCCCAAGTCTGAATATCTGCCTCCTCTGTCCCACACAAAAATACCCCAAAGGGGGAGACTTTCTGTAGCAACACAAGTGTGCATTGCACATATCTGGCCAAAGGGGCCCATGATTTAGTTCAGTATAAAAATGCAAATAATGTTTCTGTGGACCACCAAAATTTTCTCACAGATCACCAGTGGTCCATGGACCACTGCTGGCCTAAATGATTCATTTCAGGACTTTTGATTCCATTATTTCTTTTCATCCAATAAAGCTGGAGAAGGACAGGATCTAAGTCCCATATAGTGTTATTGCAACATACATAGTGGCTGACCATGTGGTATATATTTATACAGGATCTAATTTTGTACATAGAGTGCATGAATATGTTCTTTCCATCGTAGGATTTATTTTGTGTAACTGTTGATTAATCTTTGATTTTTGTGGGTTCAATGCCTCTCTCATTGTCTTCAGTTGTGAACAACCAAAGACACATTGGACAAATTTTGAGAAGATTGGTTTTTAGAAGATGAAAAGAGTAGGAGAGCAATGCTGAAGCATATTGTTTTGGGCAGATATATGTTTATATATACAGATTTTTTGTTTGCCCATTTTCTTCAAGAAATAATAATTATGCATAGGAATTACATATTTCCATTTGTTCTCTTCCACTGTGGCAGATATTTAGTGCTGAAGGTTTTTCATTTCATATCATGTAATTCATTTAGAAATAGTGATCCTTATATTCAGCATTTACCAAAAATAAAGCATATTAATGAGGTAGTTTTCACAAACCTTAAAATTAATATCAGTCTTTAGCTTCTTTATCCCTTTTTTGTTATCAGGTGTATCTTTGTTACAGATTTCAAAGATTAATATTCCACTTTCTTTCTGTATGGAACCTTGCGGCCTAGTCTATGAAACTTTATTAACTTATACATTGTTATTTAGTGCCATGATTTCTGAATACATTTTCTGTTGCTTCTTTTCTTTCTTTTTTTCATTTGGCAGATGTAAGACAAAAGTCTACGCTGATGACCTACCCACCACAAGTGTAGTCATAGTGTTTCATAATGAAGCTTGGAGTACTTTGCTTCGTACTATTTACAGTGTTATCAATCGGTCTCCACACTACCTACTTTCTGAGATCATCTTGGTAGATGATGCCAGTGAAAGAGGTAAGGATGTCCAAAAATAAAACTCATTAACATTTGAACAGTATTGTGGGCAAGGGGTAGCTTTCTTTCTTTATATCCTTTCTTTAGTACTACTTAGCAAATCTTGTAACGACACTATCTGGGATTTTTCTGAAGAGAATGGCTAGAGCAGTGTGGAGGAAAACACAACTTAGAGCCCATTTTACCATTGTAGACAAATGATTATAAAAAGCAAAAAGAATGTGTATTGATGGAGCAGAACAGGTTTTTCTTAAATTTTGATCTCAAGGGAGAAATTACGTGGGATTCTCTGAGAACAAGTCACAAAACAATAGGAGTCATGGTGGCACAGTGGTCAGAATGCAGTATTGAAGACAAACTCTCTCCACAGCCAGGAGTTCAATCCTGACTGGGTCAAAATTGACTCAACCTTCCATCCTTCTGAGGTCAGTAAAATGAGGACCAGATTGATGGGGGCAATATGCTAAAAACACTTTTTTATCTTGTTCATTTGGTCAGAATGTAGAGATGTCTTTGGCCTATTCAACCTTCCCAGCCCACCAAATTTACTTTCCCAGCTGGAGAACTTTTGGAGTGGTAATACAAGACATCTAGTCGATTTTAGTGCCTGTTGAGGGCACTTCAACAGATCACTTGTTGATCATTTATTCATGTAAAAGTGGGATTGCCTTTGCTTTGAAAGAAGCTGTGATGAATTTAATATTATAAAATCTTTCTTAAGACCTTATGTCAAGAGTTCCCTTCTTTTTCAAAATTTCAGAGCATGTAGTGGCAGCCTAGCCATGGCTTGCTTAATCATGGGGTGTTGATTAAGCCATAATTGGCAGGATTAATAGCAGAAGTAAAGTGCTCTGAAGCTATTCTTCCAAGATGAGAAAAACGTGAGCACAATGCATACGTCGGCTCATTCTCTTCATAACAATAAAAAAGTTCCCTGCCTGAGAGAGAAACTGTTTTTTATAATGGCATCTGAATTCAGCTAACTGATTATTATCTCAGGAAGAAGAATGGGTGCTTCCTTCCAGTCTTGCAGCCTGTGGCGTTCTAACAACATGAAAAAGTCTTCAGTCAGATTTTGATTTTCACAGTGGAGCTGAGATACAGTTCTCTGCTACTGAATAAGAGGCAGACGCTGGATTCACACATCATATTAAGCAAGGACTATGAAAAATGTGGCCCTGGTTCCACATTGGTCCATTAAAATCCTGTCACCAGAGCCACAACAAGCGACCAGGGGCAATCATTTTAGTAGAGAATGGTCTGAGGGCTAAAAACAAAATGGATGCCTTCAATCTTGCAAAGACTTAAGGAATCCATTTTATTGCTTCTGTGATCTTCCAAAAAATGTGTTCTGGCCCAACCCAAAGGCTGCTGTGTCCCTCAAGCCAATAGAAATTGTCCAGGCTTGCAATCATTTTGAGGAATTGCTCCTAAATTTCAGAATTCCCTGCCCAGGAAGTGTGTTCCTCCATATGGAGTTGGATCCTTTTGGTGCATATTGAAAATATTATTAAGAAAATATTTGAAAGTACGATGATGACATTTCTGATACTTTTTTATCTCTTAAGGTTGGGCTGCTTTTTATTTTGTGCTTAATAACATGTTTATTTGACTTTTAAGAGGAGTATTTTATAGCATAATCCTGTACCACTTTATTTAGCAATCTCATTAAGTTCAATGAAGCTTGTTCCCTGAAATATGTTTTAGGATTAAGGTAGGGTTTTTTTTAAAAAAAAAAATACAAATAGTGTAGCAGTCAGAATCTTTTAATTCATTTTACAATAATCTGTTTATTTCATTTCCCCTGCTATATCATTATTTCATTGTATCCTAGAAGAATATTTTCTTTCTAAATTGCTAAAGAAATTAGAATCAGACTGAGTAGTAGTGACTGCTGTTTCAAGTGGGTTGCAAAATATACTCTAGAGGGCTTATGATTGATCCTAATCCAGAAATAGAAAGCCTTCCCTTTGTGCCACCATCTGAAGTGAGTACATTCTGTAGGCAATGAAATGATCTTCCATGCTTTGTGGACCCACATTGAGTGCCTACCCATGAATTATATGGGAATGAAGTGGCGTGGGGATTGGTGGCTGCAGGATATCTTTTAAAATGTATATACACAGTTAAAACAGCAATGCAGTTGGTGTTTTATTTGTCTGAATGGTGCTTTATTTTTATGCAATAATATATAGATAACTGTATTCTTAAGATCCTGTAAAATAAAGAATGTTGTGTTTAATTGAGTGGTGTTGGTTTTCTATTTTCCTCTTCTTCCTATTGTTCTTTCCCTTTTTGTATTTTATAAAGCAACAAAAGCTCTCTCTTTTTGTTGTTGTTTTTCTCTGTATTCAGAAGTGTTTTGCCTTTTTGGTTATTTTTTATGGAAAGAAGAAAGCAGTCAGCTTGTAGATTCTATTCTCTCCTTTCCCTCTCCCTCTCCCTCCCCCTTTCCCTCTCCTTATCCCCATCCCTATCCCTATCCCTACCTCATTCCCATTTCCTTCGAATGTTGGTGGGTTTTTTTCATCTCTTTGTTGAGCTTAAACTTTGTTGTATTTTCTTTCTTAATGGCATTTGGCAGATTTTCTGAAGCTTCCATTAGAGAATTATGTAAGAAACTTGCAAGTGCCAGTAAAAATTATTAGAATGGAACAACGGTCGGGGCTGATTCGAGCTCGGCTTAGAGGTGCTGCCACTTCTAAAGGCCAGGTCATCACTTTCCTGGATGCACACTGTGAATGCACTACAGGTTGGCTGGAGCCCCTGCTGGCAAGAATAAAGGAAGACAGGTGAGAATTAAGAACAGGTTCTGTTACTATGACAGCCTCTGCCACCCCTCCCTCCCTCCTCCTCCCCTCTCTCTTTTAGGAGTCTGTTTGTTACTAACCACTCTTTTCTTGCTGTTTGTATCTCAACTATCAGAAATGTCTTGCTTCAATAAAAGAACAGGAGAATGCTTGTCTGCTGCTGGAAGCCCATATACTGTACTTTGCTGATGGCTTTAAAACAGTGCCTTCCAGCTTAATGGGTCCATTTTTCCTCTGACTTGTCAGTTAAAAGACCTACTGACATCCAGTGTGAAATATGGATTTGCACCAGGAAGATCTGGATTCATTCACTGAAGTATTTTGCAGTAGTTAAGATTCCTCTAAGAATTGTTTATGTGAGTCTTGCTTTCAGTTTCCACAGGGAAGGTGAGGTAAGAATATAATAGTATCTAAACATTTGTTTTCTGTGGCCCAATCAGCCATTATAATCAGGTAAAAAAAAATCCCGGATGACATAAATACTAATTTGTAGAAAATGCAGAAAGCAAATACAGTTTCAGAACTTTCTCTGTTATCTCACATGGGAAATGCTTTATGACCTCTTCAGAGACATTCAAAAGAAAAGGTGGTGCTTCCCTCTCACAGTTGCCTGCTATTTTAGTCACACACAAAGATATGTAGATGTACTTGAATAAAGCCTATGCATTCCATTAATTAAGATTTTGCTAAGAATTAATAGTTCCAAAATAATAGAGCCTGCAATTTTCCAAGAATACACAAAAGAAGGCATATCTTCACATAGACAATATGTGATACATAAGATGGGGGCTACAAATATGGATGGTTTTCAAAGGGAATTTTAAAAAGGATAAGATTATCAATAGCTTCTAGCAATTACTATAGCAGCATATCCACAGTACAATGTGACTTGCTGTATCAGAAGCAATTGCTTGGAAATGCAACTGGGAGGTTTTGTATTCAAGTCCTGCTTGTTGAATTCCTTCAGCAGTGAAACTTTTGGGCTCGGCATGTTGAAAATTTGGAAAATGCCTACTTTGAGTCTACTGGTGTGTCTCTCACACTCAGGCACCCCTGAACAAAAGAGAAACAATTACATCCTATCCAATTGGATAGAAAATGAATCTAGACAAAAACAAATAGAAAACTGAATAAATTGGGAAAGAAAACAGAATTATAGGGGAGGAGTTGAATTAAAAGGCAATTGAAATGTAAAGGTAAATGGAAAGATAAGAATATAGTAAAAGTGATGTAAATGTTAAATATGTCGACACAGAAACTGTACCCATTGCCTCTGTGGCCCAGAATTCCCCACAATCTGCCACATACCACTTAACTTCAAGCAAGGGACTCTCTTCTGTTGACCGGCATTCAGCAACACCAGCTAGGTCTTCAGAGTTTTCCAAAATGTGAGCGGAATCAGGACTAGCCTTTATTATTATTTTATTTTATTTTATTACTTTATTTTATTTTCTGCCCATTTCTCCTCAGGATGACTCTGGGGGTCTTAGTAGTAATCTTATTAGTCTGTTGTTCCAGGTTGTAGGAACAGCCAAGGAAAAGGCATGATTTCTAAGACCCACTAAATAAAAATCCCTAGCAGATGGAATCTGCAACATATTCCTCCTGCCCAGCAATAATGGAATGCTTAGAAACAAATAACCTGGAATCATGGCATGTAAGGCTTTACAGCTAATAACGGCACCTTGAATTGCACCCAGAGGTCAGTGCAGTTTGCGGAGCAAACCATGGGCTCTGAGAGACCCAACCCATAACTGCTGCATTCTGGAACAAATGAAGCGTATTGGCATTCCTCAATCTCAATCTCTCCCTCCCTCCCTCCCTCCCTCCCCCCCCCTCTCTCTCTCCCTCTCTCTCTCCCTCCCTCCCTCTCTCCCTCTCCCTCCCTCCCTCCCGATCACACACACACACCGATAAAGCATATTTTAACCTGCCCCTGGCTCTCTTAGCATAAGAACAACACAAGAACTCAGTGAAAAGACAATACAGAATGGACCTGAAAACAGCTTCTGGAAATGTTGGACAGACCACTCAAAACATCGATCATTTCATAGAGCCAGAGAACTGGAAGTGGCCATTGAGAATATTGCATGCAAATCCCTCTTTGATGGAGTCAGTGAAATGAAATCATGTTGACAGATGGATGCCTAGCCTCTTGTTGTATATTTTTCTGTGGTTCCAGTCATTAATTGCATTGTGAACTGAATCTGTCATCTTTGTTTCCATATTTATAGCTTGAATTCTACATACCCAATTTCCTTTATGTCCCCCCCCCCTCCTTTTTCTCATTAAGTTTCTTGGAAATGTATGTTTCTGATTGTTTTCTCGCCGATAGACCTCACTGGGTGAAAAACTATTACTATTTTTGTCTTCATCGGTATAGCTAGATTTTGAATCCGAAAATAAATAAAAAGCTTCTTTATACAGTGGATGAGTGGAAACTCAACAAACATTGGTCCATTTCCGATCTGTGGCTTCTTATTAATAGTTTGTATATTGAGCTTATCCATTTGGGGTTTGCTTGAGGAAAACATATGCTGTGCTTCGGGGTAAAAAAAGAAGAAGCAAGACCCAAAGAGAATTGCGCATATTTATATGGTATGGATTTCGCAAGGTATGGATGTGCTTAATGCGCCATGAATAATGTCTGGATTTTAAAAACAGCAATCCGCTCGAATGCTTGTGGAAGCAGGTATTTGTTTGTGTTTCCTAACTTGGTCACAGTTCATATCTCCAAACGGATGCTGCAATCTCTGGAGCTTTTCCTACTTTCAGTTGCCAAGGTTGCATGGATAAATCTTCAAATATATTGTTAACAATGTTTAGGAAAGGGAGCAGAGAGTTGCTGTAGTCAGAGTCTCATGCTGTCCTGCCTTCATGCTTTCTTCTCCTGAGTAGATTTCGAATGTATTTATTTCATCAAGGTGTTAATAGATTTCAAAAGGAACTCAGCCCTTTAGATATAGCTTTACCTTTCTGGATGTGTGTGTATGTGTGTTTGGACCAGGCAGAGTTCCTTGCCAGGAAAATACATTTGCATTTTTTTTTTTAATAGGAAAATTGTTGTATGCCCAATTATTGATGTAATCAGTGACGACACATTTGAATACATGGCGGGATCAGACATGACTTACGGAGGATTCAACTGGAAACTCAATTTTCGTTGGTACCCTGTTCCCCAAAGAGAAATGGACAGAAGGAAAGGAGACAGAACTTTGCCTGTGAGGTAAGTAGTAGAGACAGAGGATGTTTTATGAGCATTAATTGGTGTGTGTTTGTGTGTGTATACCGATGACTGCATGTATTTATAAGACTTAGATTTACTTACACAGGATCATATACCATTTAGATCAGGAAAATACATGGTGAACTTCATTGTGGTAGGAAATAATGAATGAATGAATAGTGGGGACAAGTGGGAGTTTGACAATAGGAATTGTAGGGAAAAAACCTTAACAAAATGTCCCTCTAAATCAATACTGTACTCCTAAGCTGAGAGCCTCAGCAGGAAACCAAAAGAAATCAAAACTTATTACTGATGATCACTTCAAAAATAATGAAGTTCTGCAGCACTTGGACTATGTTTAATGCTCCCTGAAAACATCCTGGCATGTATTTGTGGCAAGTTCAAACTTGTGCATTTTCAAGAAAAAAGAAAAACCAGAGGATTAGAGTGGTGGCGCAGTGGTTAGAATGCAGTATTGCAGGCTAATTCTGCTGACTGCCAGCAGTTCAATCCCCACCAGCTCAAGGTTGAATCAGCCTTCCACCCTTCAGAGACCGGTAAAATTGGGGACCCAGATTGTTGGGGACAATATGCTGACTCTGTAAACCGCTTACAGAGGTCTGTAAAGCACTGTGAAGCAGTATGTAAGTCTAAGTGCTGTTGCTATTTCCGCATAAAGAAAGGGTGAACATTAATCAGACCAAAGAAGGTGCTACAATAGACAGAGAAAGTAATTTTCCCTAAGGAGGAAACTCAAACCAAGGAGCCATTCCAATGGGTTGGAGTGAATAGCAGAAGTAAGAGACAGAGAAGATACTGTGCAGTGCTGAGACTTAGATTCAGCTTTTAGGATCTCTCGGAAGGAGGCTCTGAGCCTTTAGGAAAATAAAAAGCAAAATTGAGGAGTAGGAGGATGGTGGGTCCTGAAGGGCAGAGAGAATACAGCTGCATCCTCCAAGTAGACAAAGAGAAACTGAAATTATAAGAATGTATTAACCAGACCCATCGGGTAAAGGGTGTTGAGCTAAGGGTGCTGAGTTATGAAAGAAGGGCTTCTCAGATGTATCAAGACCACTGATAGTTATTCCTTTAGCAAGATAGAAAAGTGTGCAGCAATGACAAAACTGACTGTATGTATTTGTAATGCAAGTTTAACTAAATTCCAGCAGGAATGGCCCTCTTAGATACAAGTCCTCTTACATCACACGGGAAAATAGGTTTAGACATTTGAAATGTGATTTATAAGAAAAAAAAGTTAAAGGATTAATTTAAAAATCAGATGAAACAATTTAAATAAATATAAGAGATAATCTCCAATGTATCAAGAACAAAGGACAAATAAGTAGTGGCTGGTGCCTAGGGACAATGGAAGGGAGGAAAAAAATGAGACCTGGAAAGTTCCTCCTTTAAGATTTTTTTAAAATGATTTTATTTTTTCCTTGTTTTGATATTATACTTTTCTCTATCCATATTATTTTTTAAAATATCAGCTTTGGTATTATATTTTTCTCTTATCAATACCATTTTTTAAAATATAAAAAAATACAGTACAAACAAAACTCAGAAAAAGAAAAATAGAGAATAGAAAGTGCAAGAAAAGGAAAGAAAAGAAAGAGGAAAAATAATAAAAAGAGAAAAGAAGTATTTAAAGAAGTGATTTCTGATCTTCATGACACTTAGAAATAAACTTAGTGATTCTTGACCTCCCTTATAAGCTTACATGCAAAATTATCTTATTTTTATAAACCATCTCTTATTTATACACAAATGCATAAATCATTAACACCTTATTCCTAGTATCAGCAAAAAGACCATCAAGGGTTCCTAGATTATTATAGAAACATGCTTTATTTTAACCTTGGTCAAACAAGCCAACCTTGTACTCCTTCCCTTTGCTTCTAACAATCTTTAATTCAGATGTTGTGGGATTTGATTTCTCCAGCTTTTCTTTTTCCCATTGTGAAGGTTCTTTGCTCTCCAAGGACCACAGGATAACAAATCTGTAAAAAATGCTTTATTGGAACACATACCAGCAGGCTATTGCTCTGGTCATCGCCATCCTTCTAAGCTTTGCAAGTGATAAGCTTTGCCACGTGAATAGGTCTTTAAAACTTGGTCCTTTGATGCTTATTCTTTTATTACTTAGTTCAAACTAAGTAATGTCAAATGCTATTGTCAAATGTCAAATACTGTTGTCTTTAAAGTAATGCACAACCTTTGTCTTTTTCCAAATGTTCTTGCACTAGATGGGATGAGGTACTCCTACAGTGTGGTTACTCACTTTCTATTTGCTGCCAAGCTCCAAGCAAAGGTCCAGGCTCCAGGCAGAACTCCCACCATGATATGCTTCTTACTGTAGCTTGTGGTCCTGACAGTTGAATAGTCTTGTACTAGACATTTGTTGTGCTTCATCTTCTATAGGCCATTTGCCTTTAGTGTTCCGGATAAACTCAGTTTCTTTCCCATTTTGCCTTAGCATTTGCTTTTGTAAACTCTCAAGACTAGAGAGAGAGTGAAGCTGCCTCTGAATGTCAGCATGTCCTTGAAAATACTAAGAGTGTGGCTTAATTAGCCCAGCAGCTGGAACACCAGCTTACATGCTTGTTAGTACAGGTCTAAGAGAAATGGGGGTGGGGGGAGGCAGGACTTTTCTGCATGATTGCAGCTGCTTTTCAAACAAGCATACAGCAAAGGTTGCTTCTTCAGGCCTTTAACAAAAACTCTTTTGTAAATCCATAAGGAGTCATTTTTCATGCCATTCCCCTGGTTTATCATTTGTATTTCTATTTTAGCTGTCACCTCTGTTTGATAAGCCACATTTTTTAAAAAAATTTCCAGCATTTCTTTGTTTTCTAATATTTCTGCATCAGATGAGGTTTGTTTCCGCTCTTTTAGATCGAAAGGTATTTGCTTTTGAATCTAGCATTTTTTCTTTAACATCTTTTGGAAATAATCTATCAATAGAAGCAGATGTTGATATTGTGGTTGCTAGATTTCTGTTCTATTCTTCAAATATCTTCTGGAATATTTAAAATTTAAAACCACTTTCTGTCATTTTGTCCCAATGCTAACAAAACCTATTTTTTTTCCTCATTTATGCCTAGGGTCTTTAGTCCCTAGTGTCTACTTTTTGAAATCATAAAGTCTCAAATTTACGTTATGACTTAAGGTAGACTAAACACTTTTAGTTCTCAGGAAGATGCTATTTATTTACATAATTATTTTCAAAATCTTATAGCAAAAGTCCTACTGTTCCAAATTATTTGGCTCCTTAACTCATTTGTAACTTTTTTCAAATTAAAGTCTTAACTGGGCCTTTGCCATTTTTTAAAAAAAGTTCTTTACATTGTAAAGCTTATAGTTCATTTTTATTTTATTCTTGAATCGAGGTAAACTGACAAGGTAGCTTTGCAAACTTGGTTTTTTTTTGTTTTTTTTGAAGATCTCTTTTAGTCTGAAATCAGTTAATTAGGTAATTTCCCAAAGTGGTTAGAAATTAGTGAGCCTAGTGTCCTTAAAACAACTCCTATCAGATGGGAAAGTGATTGCTTTGCTTCATCTCCCAGTGCTTAAGCCCATGGAAACTGTTCTCTTGCAAAGGGTAGCTGTCTAGAACCCACCAGAAGTGGGTGATCTCCTGTCCTCTCCTTATCCAGAGAGGTTCTGTGGGGCCAGTGCTTCTTGCCAGTCTTTTGTTGTGGCCACAACACCTGTTTGGAGATGTGCTGACTCGCTATTCCTCACAGGGAAGTCTCCACAAATAACAGTGAAGATTAAGAAGGACAGTGTGGGTAGGGAATCAGACACGTCACAAAATAGAACCACTGCTTCATTTGAGTTGGAAAGCATACTTTTATTTTGATGCATTTTAAAATTTCACACTTTAGGCTTTCTCAAAAATATACTTTTTTCTGTGTTCCTATCGACTGTGGTAGACAAAATTTTACATCACAGTTCATTAGATTTTTAGAGTTCGTGAGATTCATATATTCATTCCAAAACAAGCAAATAAACAGAAAAAAAGAACAAGAAGCATAATATAGCAAGGCCACTTCTCTGAAGCGAGCAACATTGTGCAGTATCTTTCCAAAGTAGGGTGTATCGTACGACTATATCAGTCTTTTCAATTAAAATAAAATCCCACTTAATGAAATTTTACATTTGTTTAATCTTTCGAAATGGATCTTTTGCTAACATAACAATAGCAACTCACAATAATATTTACTTTTGGGGTAGTTGGTTATGCTGCCTGGGGAGGAATGTATAGGAAACCTATACTTAGGAGTGTGATTTTTTTAACAAAACATGGGAGTGATTTAGGATGAAGCACCTCTAAGAATCATAAGAAAGCTTAATGTAGTGCGAATGTTTTGCCCCTCTTGTTTATTGTACTTGCTGTTGATTTGATTAACTGTGATGGATGGAATAATGTGTGGAAGGACATTTATAATTCTCTTGCAATTGGTATACCATCTCCTAGTAGATGTTAAGCTTACTGGACTCTTAAGCACTGTAGCAGCAGAAGGAAGGTATGAAAATAGCACAGCCCATAGATTAATGAAGTTCAACTGTGCTTTGACAGCATTTGGGGAATTTATTGACACCATGATAAGTGATTCAGTTAAAACCCTGAAAAGACTGTGGCATAGAAATGTCTGATACACTTGGCCCTGTCCAGATGATGCAAAGCTCTCATGCAAAATAGCTAAACAGACTTTTGAATTGTTTAGCATGGAATGATTTCAACAGAGTTATAGAGTGACAATTTAATAAACACAATGCAGAGTCTTTCCAAAGACCACATTATACTGTGACCTTAGTGATGGTGCAGAAAACCAAACCTCATTACATCTGCTTTGCTGGCCATTCCAGTAGAAGCTTCACCTGTGTATGTCTGTGAACACACAGGTAACGGGAACAACTTTTGCATGCCTTACAAAGGAAGAAACTGCCTTACTGTTTTAAAAAGATGCTACATTCACACACATTTTTATGATTCAAATCTTTGAAATGCTTTGTGCCCTAGGAACACATCATCAAATGCATCTTCCCCCCAGTGACTGACTTACTCTAGTATGTAAGATGATTAACCAGATGCCTTGACACATTTTCTTTATTTCAAAGCAACCATGACTGTTGCTAATTGTATCAAGGAAGTAAAGGGCTTCTTGATGTTCTTTTGCTGTCCTTTGTTCCTTTTGACCACTTTTTTTTTTTGCATTTGAAATCCTCCAAAACTTTCTTTTAGAAAAAGGTGGTAATTGTGTATGAGAGACAGATGAGCTTTGATTAGGAAAGACCCTGGATCACATATTTTCCAGATGTGAGTCTTTAGAGATTAGATGGAAGAAGCTGAATTTATTAAATTCTAGACCATGTGCTGAATATTAACACTGTATGGAAATGTTAAAATGAAACAGGCACCCAAAATAGAGAACTATTTCAATATATCATTGAAATAGATAGGAAATACTATGTTTCCCTGAAAATAAGACAGGGTCTTATTTTCTTTTGACCCCTGAAATAAACATTTGTCCTTATTTTCAGGGAGGTCTTATTATTTTTGAGGTGCAGGAGGCAGCGAACATGGTCACCTCATGGATATTGTTGTGTTGCAATACTTTTGGGGAGGGCTTATTTTAGTGCATGCGCTCAAAAACCCAATTGGGCTTTTTATCCGGGGAGGTCTTATTTTCGGGGAAACAAGTCAAGTGATTACATAACTTGAGTAATGCATTAGTTACATTTATGCAGTATTTTTTGTAATAGTAGCTTCCTTTGTAAGGAAAGAGAAAAGGAATGACCGTAATTCCTTACTAGGCATGGGTTTTGTGTAAAACTGGTTCAGTAAGAAACACTGCAATCAATCATGTCTGTTTAGCTCTTGGCCTTATAGAATTATCAAGGTAATCAACTTCCCATTTAATAGGCTGAGTCTATTCCATATACAGACACTGAGCTTGTCAATCGAAAGGTCGGCAGTTCAACAGTTTGAATCCCTAGCGCCGCATGATGGAGTGCACTCCTGTAACTTGTTCCAACTTCTCCCAATCTAGAAGTTCGAAAGCACATAAAAAATGCAAGTAGAAAAATAGGGACCACCTTTGGTGGGAAGGTAACAGTGTTCCGTGTGCCTTCGGCATTTAGTCATGACCATGGAGACCTTTTCCGACAGCACTGGCTCTTTGGCTTTGAAATGGAGATGAGCACTGCCCCCTACAGTCGAGAACGACTAGCACATATTTGCGAGGGGAACCTTTACCTTTACTTATTCCATGTATTGTACTTTAAAGGAAAACTTGAAGTTCACACACCAACAAAATAAAAATATATCCACAAAAAAGCTATATAGCTAAAGAACCTAAGAATGCTTATGTTAATATGAACGTTTAAACATTTTGGATTATAATTGATATTTCTCACTATCTTTAAAAAAGATACATTTTAAGTTACTAGGATTCAAGAAATTGCAAAATGGATAGAATGCACACTTGAAAATATTTATTCTTGTGTTTCACATGAGCTACAGTGAATTAATGAGATGTGTGTGATTGTAAATGCTTCTGTAAGTCTATTCAAATAGTTGGTCACATTTCTTAATTACAGAATTTAAAATATTGTGTTGGAAAGGAAAACCTTTCATCTATTTGGCAGAAATAATCAAAGTAGATCATAGAATGTCTTCCTTTCCAGCAATTAAAATATCTTCCTGGCACTTTGCAAATATAGAGTCCCAGAGCTTGATATCTTTCCTTTTTAGTTTTTTCTTTGGCTTTTCTCAGAAAGTTCTGCAAAACTTTAACACATCTCCTTTGCAAATACAAAATGAAAAAGATACCCAAGTCACTCTTCTGATGCATTATTTATATATCATTCTTAATTAAGACGGCAGCCAGTTCCAAGTGTAGTTATCTATATCATTCTTGTAATCTATAATTTTTAAATCCAGATTTGAATCCGCCTCAGTCTTTGTTGAAAATAGACAATCTTAAAAGTAACTTCTGAATACTTTGGTTCTGAATATCCTTAAATTTGTCCCAAGTTAGAATAATTTACTCCATATGATATTAATGGCTCTTTTCTCATTTAATTATAATGTTTAATTCTTTCTAGTTACCTCTAGAATTCAATCATCAAAGACCCTTCATCATATATTTTTCATGATAAACAGTATTTTTCTGTAGGAACATGTTTTATACTTAATATCAAAATGTTAATGTTTTTTCTCAAACAATTACATTTTTTCACAGGAAAGATCCTTAAATAATTTTATTTCTAATTTTAACCCTTTAATCCATTTGTAACTTTCCAAAATCAACATTTTCATCACTCTTTTGATGTTTATTTCAAAAGAAATTTTAAAGTCTTTAAACTTGCCTAGAAC